GCCAACTTTGCAGCACCATCTCAGGCATGACGCAGGACCCCCATATAGCCGTGCCTCCTCACCCATCCTGGGTCCCTGCGTGCACCTAGGTGCCGGCTCATCCATCACGGTCTTCCCTCTCTGCTCTCTCCCCCTCCCCACGTCCAGGCCCAGCCCCTCGGCTGCGTCTGGCTGATGGCCCCCATGGGTGTGCTGGCCGGCTGGAGGTGTGGCACGCCGGGCGCTGGGGGACAGTGTGTGATGACGCCTGGGACCTGCGGGATGCCGCTGTGGCCTGCCGGGAGCTGGGCTGCGGGGGGGCACTGGCTGCCCCTGGAGGCGCCTTCTTTGGGGAGGGGGCTGGACCCATCCTCCTGGATGATCTTCGCTGTCGGGGAAACGAGTCAGCCTTGCGGTTCTGTCCGGCGAGGCCCTGGGGCCAGCACGACTGTCATCACCGGGAAGACGCCGGGGCTGTGTGTGACGGTGAGGGGGAGAGGCCAGAGAGGTTGGGCTTTGGGGGATCTCAAGAGGAGGGCAAGAACTGGGGGGGCTCGTGTATTTTCCTGATTATACCCCGCGTGTCCCACACTCCCCCAACCCGACTGCCCACCCGCCCCATGTCGTGCTTGGCCCTGAACCCTCCCCTACATCTGGGGTCCTAGGCCACGCGGTGTGGGGAGCTGCCTACAGCCCAGCAGTGGGTGCTGATCACCTCTTCCGGCCCAGGTATGCCTCTCGGATACGTCCCTCCCACGGCCCCCGCGGTGGGCGGCAGCAGCTCCAGGCCCCTGCCCCCTACTGCGAGCCAGGCCCCTCGGACAGCAGGCATTTCTCCTCCGCCTGCCTCCCCTGCTGCCCCTCAGGAACCTGGGCCAGAAGCTGGTGAGTTCCTTCTGCTCCCCCAGATACGGGCCTTGGCTTCTATTTCCTGCCCCCAGATGCCCTCCCTCCCTGCTCAGACTATCTCGGGGGAAGGGTGGGAGACAGCCCACACTCACAGGGGCCTCTGCTGGGCTTAATGCTCTGCTCTCACAAATCTGGAAAGCACTGGGTCAGCGATGGCTGTTCTTTTAAAACGCAGGCTTCGTTATCAGTCAGGTAGGGGGAGGCCAGCAGATGAAGAGACGAGTGTCATTGGCGAGATAGTTGGTTTCTCACCGTCCCCAAGAGGAGGGGACACAGCATGCCCCATGGCACAGGGCCACATGGAAAGCACAAGGGTCCCTCAGGAAGCGGAGGCAGTGAGGGGTGGACGTGGGCAAAGCCTTGAGTGCGGCTCCTCTGGGGAGGACTGGACACGGCGGCGTGGGCAGGCCTAGGATGGGCTGGCCTGAATCATTCCGGCTGGCTCTGGAGCGGAACCTGCCCCCGGGTCGGGGGGCGGGCGTGGGCTCTGGGGGGTCGGGTTGCATCTGAAGGGCACACTCCCAGTCCCGTAGTTTCCTGTCTCTGGGGGTTAGCAGTCCCTTCAGAGCAGCAAGGCCCCAAGATGTCAGAGCATCAGGTACAGCAGATACAAAGCCACCATGCATACAGCTATCTCCTCAAGGCTGGAAAAGGCTGAAAAAAGCAGGAACTTGATCACCATTACCAGAGGCCTCCTTCCCCCTTTTCTGAATAATAACAATAAAGCAACTGCCATATACTCAGCACTCACTGGCTCACGTGACCAGTGCTGTTCCAAGCCCCCTGTGGACGGCATCGCCAGGCAACGCTCCCAGCCACTCACGGCATAGGTACCGTCTGGTTTCCACGTTAGACATGAGACTACACAGCTCAAAAGTGGGAGAGCCAGGACTTCAGAGTGCAGCCAATTTGTTCCAGAGCACACTTTCTTTTTTTTTTTCCAAATTGTAGTAACATATGCACAGAAAATTGACCATTTTAACCATTTTTAAGCATACAGTTCAGTCGTATAGAATACATTCTACAGTGCTGTGTAAGCATCACCACCATCACCTCCAGAATTTTTTTGTCATCCCAAACATACGCTAGACCCATTAGCATTCACTACCTGTCCCCCATCTTCCCAGCCCCTGGCACACACCAGTCTTCTGTCTCTATGCATCTGATTAGGTACTTTATATATAAGTGGAATCCCACAGTGTTTGTCCTTTTGTGTCTGGCTTATCTCCTTGAGCATCATGTCCTCCAAGTTCATCCATATTGTAGCACATGGCAGAATTTCTTTTTCACGTCTGAATAGTGTTCCACTGTATAGATGGACTACACTTTGCTTATCCACTTGTCCATCGACGGATATTTGGGCAGCTCCCACCTTTGGCCTGTTGGGAATGACGCTGCCGTGGACGTGGGTGTACGGGTATCTGACTGAATGCCCATATCCACTTTATTGTGGGCATCTCCATGGGAGTGGGGTTTCTGGATCGCATGGTGATTCTGTGTTGAGCTTTTTCAAGGAACCACCCTTGATCCCTGACTCTGTGGCCCTGTGCCTGATGCAGACACTGGCACTGCACAGGCCTGGATGAGTGCTTCCTGCCAGGAAGGAAGGGTGGATTCATAGAAAGAAGGTGGAGGGAGGGTGGAGAAAGACTCAGAGCCTGATGGCCTCCCTGACTCTCATTCTTTGGGTGTCTTCCACCCCAGGGTCCCCACAGCTGCGCCTGGTGGCCGGGCCCAGCAGGTGCTCAGGCCGGCTGGAGGTGTGGCATGCCGGGCGCTGGGGGACTGTGTGTGACGACAGCTGGGACCTGCGGGACACGGCCGTGGTCTGCCGGGAGCTGGGCTGCGGGGGGCCTCGGCAGCCAGACCCTGCTGCTGGCCGCTTTGGCTGGGGCGCCGGCCCCATCTGGCTGGACGACGTCAGATGCACAGGGACTGAGGCGTCCCTCACCAACTGTCCTGCTGCCCCCTGGGGGAAGCACAACTGTGCTCATAATGAGGACGTTGGAATCACCTGCACTGGTAAGGAGGCCCTGGCCACCACTGGCTCCGGGAGGGCTTCCTGGAGGAGGGAACAGGAACGAACATTGGCACTAACATTGATTGAGTACCCACCTCCTAAGCCCCTGCCCTGGGCTGGCTGTTTTTGCATGTGACCACATTCACACCTCGCAGTAAGTCCAAATTGGTAGCTGTTATGCCCGTTTTACTGACGAAGATGCTAAGGCACAGAGAGGTTATGTAACTCACGCAAGGTCACACAGCAGCTAAGTGGCATAGCCAGGATTCTTTCTCCTCCTCCTGCTCCCCACAAGAATCAAGGAGGTCTCCTACTTAGAGGGGAGCTGTGTCCACCCCAAGCTGAGGGAGGCAGGCACAGGGGCACAAGGAGATGGTGAGAAGCCAGCATGAGGGAGAGCCAGCTGAAATAAGCTCAGGAACGGCTTGTGCTGTTCATTCGCCATCATTTCTCGAGTGCCGGACACTGAGCTGAAGCCTGGTCCTCAGAATGCAATGGGCCCAGCCCTCGCCTTTGACGCTTACATTTCACCGAGGGAGAGATGCACCAGCAAATTGTTGCAAACCCGCCTGACATGTGACCATTTGGGAGGGTACCAACAACACCCTTAGCTTCCACAGTTTTCTAGAAGGACTTACAAAAATCAGAAAAGCTGTCCAAGTCAGGAGCACAGTTTACTGCAGTGAAAGGACACAGATTAAATCAGCCGAGGGAAGAGGAGCTGGGCGCGGGGTCCAGGAGTGACCCTCTTGGAGTTTCCAGGGCGGCCACCAGACAGCGCTTACCTCCCCAGCAATGACGTGTGGCAACACACAGGAAGTGCTGCCGACCAGGGAAGCCCTCCTGGCCTTGGCGTCAGAGTGTTTATAGGCGCTCCATCCTGAGATGTGGCTGGCTGCCCGCTGGCGGCCCACACGTCACATTGTTAGCATAGGTTATCAGGGTGGTCCCACCCCCCAGGAAACAACGTACCAGGCAGGACATTTCAAGGGCTTGGAGAGCCCTCCTCCCCAGCAGCCGGGGCAGAGGGCCAAACCTTCCTTTGGACAAGGCTAACCCACGCACTGCATCATTAACTCTTGGCATCACAGTGTCTGCCATCATCCCTGTCCTCCCCGCCTGTCTTCCAGGAACCCCCGGCCTGGACTCCATCTCAGACCCCTTCAGTTGGAGCTGGATCCCTGGCCTGGGTAGAGACCCGGATGCCTGGCTCCCAGGGGAGCTGGCCACCAAGCCCCCTGCCAGACTGACCCCCAATGTGCTGGAGAAAACCACCAAGGCCCCAGGGAAAATGCCCAAGAGCACAAAGAAGTGGGTGACCAAGACTGCAAAGAGACCAGCCACTCAGCCTCCCGTGATGCCGACCACTAAACACTCCAGGGTCCAGGGCACTTGGAATCCCCTAGAACTGACCTCGCGGACCACTACCGCCCGGACCATGGAGGCCTCTCGGAGACCAACCTCTGAGTTTACCACAAGGCTGACCACTGAGACCTCTCACACGCCGACCTCACACACTCCTGTGACTCGGACTCCCCGGGCCCCCCGGGAACGGACCTTTAAGAGTGTGGCAACACCGACCACTCAAGGCCCCCAAGAAATGACCTCTGAGGCCACCATGGAGCCATCGGCCAGCATCCCAGAAGGTTCTCCAGAGTCATCCAAAGACCCAGCCCCCTCTCCCACAGGGGGATCAGGTGAGTGGAAGGAGGGAGAAGAGTGAGGCTGACCCTCCTGACCCCCGCTGGCCCCTCCTGACCTGGGCCTTCTACCAGTAGGCCTGTTCCGGGTTCGTCTGGCTGATGGGCCCAACCGGTGTGCTGGCCGGCTGGAAGTGTGGCACGCTGGACGCTGGGGCACCGTATGCGATGACAACTGGGACCTGCGGGATGGCACCGTGGCCTGCTGGGAGCTGGGCTGTGGGAGGGTCCGGCCCCGAGTGGGCAAAACCCACTACGGCCCCGGGACCGGGCCCATCTGGCTGGATGACCTGGGCTGCAAGGGAAGTGAGACCTCGCTGAGTGACTGCCCCGCAAGGCCGTGGGGACAGCATAACTGTGACCATGAGGAGGACGTGGGGCTCACTTGCACTGGTACGCCGGGCAGAGCTCAGCAGGGCAGCTGAGGGCATGCGGTCAGGGTGGCAAGGGGG